CTCCCCCGCGACCCCGCCGTCAGGCCCGGAGAGCGGGTAGGAGAGTGGACTGACCATTTAATAAGACCAGCAGAACAGCGCCGCCGCGGCAACTGGTTTCGCGAAAGTGGTCGGCGGCGCCCGCGCGCCCGCCCCGCCTGGAAGTGTGTAGTAGTAGTTGATGATGACCGGCGTGTCCTCCCTGCGGGCACACACACACTCTCTCTCTCTCACACACACACACGAGTGTGCGGGCGCGGCGTTCGTCAACTTATTGCACGGTCCGGTTTACTTCTGGCGGAGCGCGCGGCGATATAAATTGTTTGCAGAGATTTTCCTTCCCGTTGTCGCCGCGCTCACGCACTCTCACCACCTCGTCAGTGGCGGTCAGGTGACGGTCAGTAGCGCGCGTCTGTGTGTCAGCAAACGGGACGGGCCCTCCCCTGACCGCCGCGCCTCGCGCCGCGGGCAGCAAGCGTCATTGCACCCCATCTCTTGCTCTCTTCCCCCTCAATCCTTGGAATTTTGCGTCGTTTTGCTACCCGCCAAAACGCGTCGAGCTAGAGACTTCGTCTTTTATCCAGGATGTGCGTGGCGCACCACACTAACAACATTTCCACCCTTCGTGTTCCAGGTGGCGCCGGCTGCTGCGGCCTGTGCTGGCGCGGGGGCGGCCTCCGCAAGTACGTGTTCCTGTGCGCCGCGTGCGGAGGCGCGTCCGCGCTGCTCGGCGTCCTGTTCCTCGCCGTCTACTTCATCCTGCGCTCCTACACCTCCTCGCTCGTCTACTTCGAGACGGTGCCCACCTACATCCCCGCCTCCATGCTGCTGTCCACGGGGCTGGTCGTCATGTGTCTGGCGCGGAGGAGGAACCGATACTCGTTTCTCGTAAGTAAAAGCACCCCTCCGGCCCCTTTTTCAAAAAATTAAATAAATAAACATTGGACTTGAGACAAAGTTTAAAACGTCGTTTCTAACGCGTTACAGATGAAGCTGTGTGGCTGCGCCTGCCTGGCGAGCGCGGCTCTATGCGTCCTGGTGACGGTGGCCACCACCGTGGTGCACATGAGCCGGCTGCAGTCGCTGAGCCAGTGCCACTACGTGCTGCGCACCCAGACCTGCACCTGCTACTCGGCCCTGGTGGACGCCACGGCCACCGACGCCACGGAGGAGGGCGCGCGCTACGTCTTCAACGCCATCCCGGACTGCGACGTGATCCACGGCGCCCTCTACTCGTGCCTGCGCGCCATGTTCGGCCTCTCGGTCGTCGGCATCCTGGTCTGCATCTTCTCCGGCATGCTCGTCTACCAGCTCTTCAGGTGAGGCTCCATCCAGTATTGTTCAAACCGTTCAAACCGCGTTTTAGTGTTTTCTACCAAGCTTAAGAAAGTCATTTGATTCATAAGGAGTCGCAGTTCTTCAGTTGTTACTCACTACTGTTTTACTAACTCGTGCCGTTTTGTGTTGCAGTCATGAGAAGAAGAAGATGTACTGGGAACAGCTGGAGCTGCGCTACCGGCACCTGTACCGGCGGCAGCAAACACAGCCTGCTGGCCAGGCGCTGGGCCAGGCGCTGACACACACCGTGCTCTCGCACCACTGCGGCAGCTGCAGCTGCTGCGACGACTGCCGGGACCTGCACACGCCGCCGCCCTCCATCCCGTGGGAGTTCATGGACAGCCGTTACTGGGCGCCCGGCCGCGTCGGCAACCTGTACTCGCCAAACCCCGAGGACCACCACCAGGCGCCGCCTCGGCCCGGCGCGGGGCAGCGCGCCACCCGCTCGGCCTCCAACACGTCCAACAGCGCGTGGAGCTGGAGGCGGCTGCCCTGGGGACGGTCCGCCGTGGGCGGCGCGACCGTGGGCGCGGGCCCGTCCCGCCACCCGAGCGACGGTGGCCACGGAGGCGCGCTGTGCATCCGGCAGCAGAATCCCACCAGCCCCGACAGCCAGTACGGGTTCAGCGCCTCGCACACGCCGCACATGCCTGGGCTAGGGCCCCACCACCTGGGCAGGGACCCGGGCCTGGGGCCGTACCTCCTGTCGCAGGTGTACCCCGCGCCGCAGCCGCACCCGCGGCCCTTCGCCGCCGGACCTACGCACGCCGACGCCATGGGGCTGCCGTCGGGCATGCCCCTACCGCTGGCCGTGCCCATGCCCCTGTCCTTGGCCGACGACCTGGGAGACCTGGGCCCACAGTTCTACCTCTGGGGGCCGCCGCCGCCCTACATGTCCAACCCGGCCTCGGCGGCCAACAGCCCGGCCCGTCGAGACCCGTCGCTACCCCAGTGCGCGGCGCCTGCCAGCCCCGAACAGTACCCGGTGCTGGTGCGCGGCAGCACCCAGAGGCTACACCGGTGCTCGGCTGCCGGCAGTGCAGCGGCCCCTGGCCCCGCGGCCCCGGCGGCTGACCGGCCGCTGTCCCCGGGCGAGGACGCCGCCAGCAGTTCGGCTCTGGACTCGCTGTCCAGCCCGGAGAAGACCGTGCCACGCAAGAAGAGAAAGAAGGCGGCTGACGGCGTCGCAGAACCCAGTGGGGACGCCGAGGCCGTGGTGCAGCCGGACTCGCCAGAGTCACCTACGCCGAGCCCCAGCGGGCTGCCCCCTGGCGGCGCGCAGGCCGTGCCGCAGGCCGCCCTCCCGGGTTTGCATTGTGTGCGCAAGACCAAGAAGAGGACGGATGCGCCCGTGGTGCCGGGCGCCGGCGCGCGCCACTCCGTGCACGGCACTCGGTACTCGCACCGAGCGAGAGCCTCGCCCAGGGCGCTCAACAGGCCACCCTCGGCCGACAGCTGCTGCGTGGAGCGGTCGTGCTGCGCGCGCCCCGGGGACATGAGCGACGACGTGGACACGGAGGGCTACTCGTACCCGAGGCTCAAGTTTCCGCCGCCGGCCGCGCCCGCTTCTCTGCCAGCCCTGCCCGCCGCCACGGACAGCCAGGCCATCCTCGCCGCCTTCGACAACCAGGCGTTCCAGGACGGTGCGTCCGAAGGTCCCGGGGCGGGCCCCATGGGCTCCTCCAGCAACCCCAGCGGGGCTGTGAAGACGCTGACCCTCGGGCCGCAGGGCCCGCTCGTTTGCAAGAAGCGGCCCTCGGACCCGAACGAGTCGGAAGTGTATTTTGGCGACGACTCGTCGTGCTGCAACGTCTCCGAGCAGCACTCGTCGCTCACCTACGAGGAGCCTGGGCAGCCCGGCGGCCACGAGCTTCGCGCCTTCAAGCTCGTCCACACTCACCCGCACTCACACCACGTGCAGCAGCGGAGCATGGACGCCGCCCTGCCGATGCGGCCCGTGTCTGTGCACAGGCCGAGCGCGTCGACGCTCTCTGACACCGCTGTGGTCGACCCCTCCTCTCACTACCACCTGCACCCCATCGACACCGACCCCGCCGCCCCCAACCCCGCTGCCGTGAGGCAGCGCATGCCCTTGCCCCTGCCCCACCAGCCGAGTCTCGCGCCCGACGCCCAGTACGAGTCGATCGCGGACAGCAACGTGTACACGTACATCAGTCCACTGTCCCTCGGGCCGTCGTCTCCCCCGACTGCTACTTCCACGCCCTCGCGGAGGTCGTTCAAGGCACTCTGCGACTCTCCCCGCGCTGCACCTGACCGGCCGGGGTCGTGCTCCGGGCCGTGTCCGTGCCCCGAGCAGACTTTAGACGACAAAGAGAACACCGCCAACGCGCAGAGGGAGAGCGAGGCGGCTGCTCACGCCTGCTTGGATGAGCGGCCCGGGATCGACGTGTAGTGTAGCGTCTCTGCGTTCAAAGGAAAATCTTTGTACGTAGATAGGGCGCTATCAGAATAAACTAAACCAAAGACATGTCGGCGTCGTAGACTGTTATGTCCGTCATATTTCATTTATCTGACTGATCTGTTTATTAACTAAAAAACAAATACTTTTTGTTTTGTTTTTTAAAGCATTTATATAAGTTTTAGCATTGTAATTCAAATAGTTCTGAAAATATTTTTGTATTGGTGTTGTGCTGCTTTAGCATAACTCATACAACTTGCTGCACTTTGTTCATTGTGACTCTGTCTGTGAAGCCTGTATTAAAAACGTGTTCCAGTCAATTTAGAATAAATATTGTCCTCAAAAAGCTTTAAAATTGGGAACACCCTTGTGCAAAATAGTGATGAACAGTTAAACAATTATGTTAGAACCT